AAACAAACTGACAACGCCATGGCCAAAAATAAAAAGACAAACAGACAAATAATAGTACAGATGACACAACATAGAAAACCAAAGACTAAGCAACAAGAACCCCACCAAAAACTGGGGGTGATATGAAATATGTATGAGTACTAATTGCCACCACCTACTTATGCTTTTAACTTTCAAGATACTTTACCAAACTTTCGAAGAGTAGAGCAGTTTGGTTCTTTATGTTGGTCCAAAGTATTTCATTTATTTATAATTGGGCTTTGAATCTTTTCAGCCTAATATGACCTTTTATCTAAATTGTATTGTTTTATTAATATTTTTGGAAAACAGATAGTTTTATCTGTAATTGGTTAGGGGAAGGTGGTCTTTGAATAAATTACATGTAGATTCCTAAAGAAAGTTTATTTAAGATGATTTGGTACTATAAAACGAAATCATATTAAGTAGTTGAAATACAGATGGTGTACATCCATCATGAGAATGTAGTAGCTCAATAGGAAGTTAAGACCCTGAAATCTGAAAAGGTATTTAAAAAAGTAAAATTTCAGTCTTTTCCTCGACGTAATCAGCTATTCTGTCCAGCAATCTTTTGTGACATTGTCAGAACACGACTCCAACCGAGGGTTCGGAAAGACTGACAAGAGGCGGAAGATACCAAGGGGAAATTCAAAACTCTACATTCGAGAGAAACTGTAAACGCCATGGTCAAAAGCGAAAGATCACGAATATACAAAAAACACAAAATACTTAATAATATTGACATATATATATATTGTATATACTAATGTGCTCTCCATTTAAATAAACACTAACATTCTCATAATATTGTTTATCTTTTATTGACAAATTCGTATTACCAAATATGTATTTATCATCTGAGAATGTTGTCCACACTTTTCATAAGCTGATTAATGCTCTGTGTCTGACAATTTAATTGTCTCGGTGATGTTCCAAAAAATAACATATTCACATCTTTAAATGTGTCATGAAACATTTGTGTATTTAACTTCACTTGATGTTTACTTTAAATATTCCTTGTATTTACTTGATAGATTTTATCGAGGTTTATACCGCTGGAAGCCCCGCAAGGTAGGATCTATTTTCAATGGATTGTATTCATCCGAACAGAAAATAAGAGCTGTTGACATCGGTGAAAATATTTGTTCTATTTTGGCTCGAATGAACAATACATAACAAGAAGGAAAGGGTTCGGAACTAATAAACCTTTAATCCATCAATAAGCAATCATGTCATTAGGATTTCTCACAATCTACACGATTATCAAGTGACCCGCAGAGCAGACGACAGTAGATAATAACACTTTGTTCATAGTATATCGATCCGAGGCGTCACAGGCGAGTGATTCAACGACATATAAACAATTTTATAGCGAGTTTCTCATCGTATAATATAAACCAATTTCCATAGATTATAAAACTATTCACGTATAATTTCGGATGTTTATTTGATATATTGTTCTGTTAATCATTACAAATACATTTTAGTTTTTAGTACAAGCAGACAGATCGACCAAATTACAAGTTCTCCTAATATTGAATGTAAACCAATGACTAAATTACACTGCATGAACTTCAACGAAACCAAACCCATAAAAATGAAAAGACAATACGTGACCTTTCAGTTAAGCACCCGTCGAATACTCAATAGTCAAATTATCACCAATCGTGTGTTCATTCTTATCAACATTCTGGCTTAGTTATAGTTCCTAGTAATTTAAACATTACAAATGTCGTCGAGTTTGAAGTTCATTTAAAAGGTAGAAGGATAGCATTTTGAAATTAATTACCTAAAACAACTGTGAACATTTATCGGTCCATTAGTGTTTAAAATCTATTGGCATTCTGTTTTAAAAGAGGCAAACTTTGATTGGCCAATAGACATACTTTTTTCATTCATCTCCACATCAGCATTTTATGTTCGAATAAGTGCTTATATCTCTACACTTTCATTTAAAAACAAACTAAGTTTAAATAACAAATAGATTGATGAATAATTCTGTTTTCCTTTTGCTTCTCATTAGTTATGCATATAATGCATATAAACATATTGAAATATCTACAAATAAGACATCCAGATATATAAACAGATATCATTCATATTTTACTCAACACGGAACTATCATGCCTATTACATTGCATCTTAAATGTAACAAAACACATGATATATCAAAAGGATAAAATGAATTACCAAAATTACTTGAAGTACAACAGACGAACCAACCATCAACTCTAGACTTCTCCGAGAAAATGGCCCTACAAATAAAGACAACCAACACACGTTCCCGTTGGCTGACTTGGTACAGGCATAAAATGTGGTGAGGTCAAACCAGTTTTAGCATAACCCCGACCCCTTGGCCTATTTAGACGTATGACGTGAAAGTAAAACACACAATAAAACCTGCAAAGTGCAGGTACAAACAGAATGATTCCTAGGGTAAAATATGTTAATATGACACGGGTTATGTTCTTCTCATATATGTTATGATGGTATGATACTAAACCCCTAACGGGAAGGATTGTGCCTGATATTCATATGATGAAGACATAATCTTTCATTCAGTTTAATTGAAGTCTGGAGCTGGCATGTCAGTTAACTGCTAGTAGTCTGTTGTTATTTATGTATTATTGTCATTTTGTTTATTTTCTTTGGTTACATCTTCTGATATCAGACTCGGACTTCTCTTGAACTGAATTTTAATGTGCGTATTGTTATGCGTTTACTTTTCTACATTGGCTATAGGTATAGGGGGAGGGTTGAGATCTCATAAACATGTTTAACCCCGCCGCATTTTTGCGCCTGTCCCAAGTCAGGAGCCTCTAGCCTTTGTTAGTCTTGTATTATTTTTAATTTTAGTTTCTTGTGTACAATTTGGAGTTTAGTATGGCGTTCATTATCACTGAACTAGTATATATATTTGTTTAGGGGCCAGCTTAAGGACGCCTCCGGGTGCGGGAATTTCTCGCTGCATTGAAGACCTGTTGGTGACCTTCTGCTGTTGTCTGTTCTATGGTCGGGTTGTTGTCTCTTTGACACATTCCCCATTTCCATTCTCAATTTTATTAATAGGAATTTGTTGTAGGAATCTAGTTAGGGTAGCAACGTCTGCTTTACTTTTTCATTATTATGCATTGGGTAAAAGGACTTCATGGTTTTGAATGCAGATATGATGAAAAGATTGTTTATGGTTTCTATTGAATCTACTGTTAGAACATCTGCATAACTTGGAAATCAAGTTTTTGGAAAATAAATAAGCAATTTGTTTAAATGACCTCTTAATTATTGCAAACTGTACGAGGATCAGGATTTGTCTTTCAACCGAGATCAGAATGCTTATTGTAGCCTGTAGATAACAATTCGGACTTTTATAAGTCTTGTCGACAATTGGACCTTTTATTGGTTCTTAGTGTTGCCTTTAGATTTATTCATCTTTAATTTTCTTCTTCTTCTTCTTCTTCTTCTGAGAGAGAGAGAGAGAGAGAGAGAGAGAGAGAGAGAGAGATAAATAGATTTAAACGTTATGTGTTGCTATTTATAAGCACTTATATATATGTCCAGTATTGTTATAATAATTGACACTGAAGAAGGCTATTTGTTAAGCCGAAATATTTGTCAACACGATTTAATAACAACATCTTCGTATAATACCATCTTATATAAGTATCGCTGTGCAAATCTCTAGACTTATATGTATATATATATATATAGGATCTTCATCAAAGCTAATTTCTTTTTGTTTAATGTAGAATGCATCATAAGCCCTTGAACCTGCGAAAATTTTACGAAATATGGGGGTTAAAGTATCAGCAAGTTAACACGAAATAAGATATCTAATATGCGCTATGGATTCAAATAGTCCTTCAGTCAGGTGGTTAATTCATCTGTTACATTTGATTTTCAGTCCGCTTGACACTAAATCTGGGTTTTACCATTAATTCAAAACTATTCTAATATATAGATTAAAAATTGACTTCACGAGAGAAGGGCATTAAAAAATCAGAATTTCTGCGAATTTTTTATTTATCTAAGGGTAAATTTAGACATATCCCAGGTTATTGAAATGGCGTATGTATCATTTTTATTTTTTATCACTGTTTGATTAGCACATGCAGGAATAGATAAGTTTTAAATAAATGACACTTGGGCATCGGTAAACTACCATCGCCTCTTATTTAAATAGTTGGCGTTTGACAACGAAGAAAATATTCTGAATATTATATTTTTTTATTTATTTCTAAACTAGGTGATTCAAACTATGAGGGCCGTTGCTTAAGTGTTTCCTCTGGATAAAGTAAACGATTATAAACTTTTTTCTCTTCTACCTTTTAAATTGCTATAAGGATAGAACAATTGAACTATTGTTAAAGATACTTGATTGTTTATTCTGATATGGATTGGCGAATTTTAAGTAGACATGAATTGCTTCTTTAGGGCATATTTAACTACAACAGGTTTCGATCTTAAAAGAATGATGTGGTATGTTTTATCCATATAGTTTGTCCTTCAAACTTCAATAATGTGTAATCCTTTCATTATTCACCAGATATCCAAGTTAAGAAATAAGACTATTTCCAGTATAAGAATAAGGAGATTTGGTTTGTCCATTTCAAAAGATTTGAAAAGGTCTATCTCTAAAGATTTATACAGTTACTAATATCCACAATATAGTTCGCCAACAATATCGTTAATGAATTCTTACTCACTGTTGCGGAAGTTCATGTCATTAAAACGTTTCTATCACATGTCCTTCGATTATTTTTACTGATGATGGTAAAGAAATCTTTCCGTTTAGACAACGAAAAGACTTCTGTTTATTTGTTTTCTTCATAAAAATGTATATAGTCATTGGTATCCAATAATAAGTGGCACTAAAAATAGAGATATATAACTGGGTACAAACATTAAAAAATATTACAAGGGTTTATTGTTCAATTGAGATACCCATTTAAATGTCATGAAATCAAAACTATTGAGATACAAACCTGATAATAGCCATCATGATCCTGTAGGTACCCTTTTTTCTCATGACTTTGTGAAGAGCCGTTTCTCCTTTGTTGTCAAGAGCATCAATCTCTATATCCTTACAAACCATCATATAAATAGCTTGGATTGTGTCTGGTTCACAGAATCTTTCCCCATATTCAACAAGCAAATGAAGTAAAGTTCCTGATGTTTCTTCGTCTCGAAGATTGACATCTTTTCCGCTTTTTAAATATTCCCATAGGGATTTCATTACGGCATCAGGACTGCCTGAAACTACTGTTTTGTATAACTTAGTTTTTCTGAGATTCATGGTTATCTATTTGTTTATCGACAATACTTTTACTATGTATACATACAAACGTTGAGAAATCGTTTCACAAGTATTCAATCCTACTAAATCTTTCACTACACCTTACAAACGTGTATTCTATTCATTCTTTTGACAAATAATGTTCTACTTTTTAAATGTCCGGTGGTTTTTCACTCTTATATCATTTCTACATACACATCAAATGTACAGGTAAATACATTTACCTGGTGTTTACCTGTCCGCTTTCAATAATGACGTTCACCTGTAATACTCGACGATAGATGTGTTAAATAAGTATGTCAAACAGTAATTGCCGATTGACTCTCGTTTCGGATCGATATCTCTGTTTCGAAAGGTACTAATTTTTCAAGGATATTGGTATTGTCTGTGATTTTTAGTTCTATGACAATCAGTCTTTTTGTTTTATTTTGTTCCATTACTGCTTGTCTCTAATTTCTTCTAAAATTGTTGCTTTCAAAACATGGTTTGTTTGTTTGTAATGCATAGCAACACATTATTGAATTTCAACAAACAGGTGATCAGCATCATCTTTAATACATTACTTATTGTCAGAAATACCGATCATCTCTTTTTATAGTTCGAGCGTAGTAACCAATCCTTTCGGTATTCTTTTTAGATGAACGAAAATATTATACATTATAATATTTAAAAAGTAAAATAACTAAAATATCGAACTCCAAGAAATATTCAAAACGGAAAGTCCGTTATCAAATGGCAAAATCAAAAGCCTAAACATCTGAAACGAATGGAAAACAATTGACATATTCCTGACTTGGTACAGACATTTCCTTATATATAAAATGGTGGATTAAACCTGGTTTTGAAGCTAGCTAAACCTCTCACTTGTATGACAGTCGATTAGAGTCTTCTTAAATCGAATGTGTATGTGATTTTCGAACAATGGCTGTCATTCATCTTCTTGTCTCTAAATTGAACATTGATTTTGTTTGTCCTTCATCAATGACTTATTTTAATCAGATTTGTATGCATACTGTTTTGTTTGAAAACTGTCTATTTGGATTTATATTTTCTTGCTGTTATCTTTTTTATGGATTTTTTTACTTGCCAGAGTTGCGGATTTTCAAATTGATGATGAACTCACTTTACAAAATATTTATGATTTATGACCTGTGACAAGGGATATGAGGATACTTAGAGGATTTTTTTACAGTTATGACGATCTAAGTTTGAAGGAATATTCAAGATTGACATGTAATTGAGGGAAGAGTGGATACTATGGGGGAAATCGGAACCAATAAGTCGAAGAGAGACAAACCTTTCTATGCCCAAAGGCTAAACAAATATTTTTGTTTGTTGGAAGCAGAATGGTTTTGCACAAAATATGGTTTTCCCTTACTACCACAAGTGGAGCAGGATTTGGTTACCCTTCCGTAATACATGAGATCATCCCCGGTTTTTTTGTGAGGTGCGTGTTGCTCATTCTTTAGTTTTCTATGTTGTGTTTTGTATACTGTTGTTTGTGGTTTTGGTCTTTTTCTTTTTTTTACCATTGCGTTGTCAGTTTATTTTCGACTTATGAGTTTGAACATTCCGTTGGTATCTTTCGCCTCTCTTTTAAACAAGATATTGGTACAATGCATTTACGTTGAATCAAATAATTCTGTCCATCTGTCTACTAGTTCTTGGTGAGAAATATTTGAGTTAAAGAAGAGAAAGTAAACGAAAAAATGGTTCAAGATTGTATGTACTTTTTGGAATGTTGAAGCATTCGCACCCAATTCACCAGCCAAGATTTAGCAGTCGTGTCCTTATGTGCTGACATGATATTTAAATTATGTGGCCATAATCCGTATTCATTCAAATTTAATATCTTTCGAAACTCTAGGGTTTTTCTATCTCAAGCCATAGATTACCTAAGCCAGCTTTGGTACACCTTTTTTTTACATTTTTTGCCATGTTGTCAGCTTTGTAATGGATTTGATTTTGATCAGTTTTATATCATTCTCCATTTGTGAGTCTTGTACAAATCAAACAAGAGTCTGGAAAACTAAATTATAGGTCTGGTATATTTGAGGAGTTTGATAACCACAAGGTTGATTATTCTGCTTATAGACGTTTCGTGCTCAAAGATAGCATAATCTGATTGCCATCACGTGCGCTAACTTAAAATATTAATTATACAGTAATTTAAAAATAACATTACAATTCATATACAATGCATAAAACCCTCTGGCATAGATGGCCTAATAAAATGTTGCACAGTATTTTTAGAATTTGATTGTCAGTGCAATTCAATATCGTAATTTAGTTTTCCAACTATTTCATTTCAATCGCGCCACTGACGAATTTAAAAGAAAAAACAAAAAGCTCGTCTCGCGTACTGAAATATTAGCCTGGTATCTTTGGAGAGTTTCCTTTGTATTTCTTTTACATATTTTAATTAATACATTACGTTCGTTCAAGTTCACACTATACGGACTTTATCAAAAGGTATGTGCTACTGACACAAAAAACTACTCCAACAGAGTTATGAGGAAGATCGACTGAAATCGACACTTCGTAACCATTTCGAATCGGTTGACTGATACGAAGTTTTTGTTTCTGAACTTACTTGCGATATGTTTTCGTAGACTTAGATCTTTATTTCTGTAAACTTACTGATTGTGTCCCTATAGTGACATTTTGAATAAGTGTGGATTCGCAGGACTGTTGATTTATGTTTAGCCGCTACCCACTAGGTCTCCCTCCTGTTAATTTGGAGTTCATATGATTCCCTCAGTTGTTTATCTTGATTTGCATCTTCCTAAAGGATTTATGAGATTTGAACATCTCTTAACTACTGTTGCTCTTAATTCAGACTGCACTTAGAGTATGTAGTTCGTAGTTACTCAAAAGCCAAGGTTTTATCGCTGATAAAATAGAAGTTAATCATTTAAGAAGAGAAACACTAAAAATTCAACCGTCCTATAAATGTTCAGGACTGAATCGTTCATGGTTTAATGCAAACGGTAACTCGGCTTCCTGGTCTACATATTTTTAAGGAAATGATGCTAATAATGTGATGGTCACCAGTAATAACTTGGCAAGCCGGATTATTTATCTATCAACAAGGAACTTGTACTGGTACAAGTAGGCGGTTAAGTCTTGAATTCGGCATCACTGAGATCTGCAACACGTGTTTGTGTAGTTTTATTTGCAATTGGTATGATATATCTATAAGAGATGATTGGTATACACTGATCTTTAAATAAACTCATCACAGATGCCAGGATTAAAATTGTGTACGCCAGACGCGCTTTTCGTCAACAAAAGACTCATCAGTGACGATCGAATCAAAAGAGTTAAAATGCCAAAATGGAGTACGAAGTTGAAGAGCATTGGTCACCCAAAATTCAGAAAGGTTTTGCCAAAAAAAGATTAGGTAAACTATTCCTGGGGTAGAAAATCCTTTAAAATGTATTTTAGAAAAGACCGATTTATGATAATGATTTTTGCTTTAATTGATGGCATCACGACTTCCGTTGGCAAAGGGAAGTTTTAGATCTTTTATCTGAGTTATGTTTCCATATGTCAATTGGTCGGAAAATGTCGTGATTTTAAGATAATCATTAATAGAATCATTCATTTAAAGAAGAGGCGGTAAAATCAGGTTGAGAGTAGTTGGGTTGTAACGTTTTTCTTCCATATATATATACGGGTTTAACTGTTTTCCTCAAGTTCGTTCTGATTTTGATGGTCTTGAAAATTTTATGTATTTGGCTCTTTTAAACTTGTGTTCTCGAGCTAGATTGATGATACTTCCCCCAAGTCATTCTTATGTACATTTGTCACTGATCATACTTTACTTGCCTAACATCTATGTGCAATGACCATTATGATGCTTGACACCTGTTTCACCTCAACGACAAACATGTTCTCCTACTAGATATCCCACACAATAGATATGTTTTTGTAAATATATCACATTCCTTGATTAATACGAAATAATTTTTTTGGCAAACACTTTGAAATCCAATAAATACTTCAATGATACTTACTGTAGAAGAAATACTTGGCAATCATAGGTATGTTCTATGTTTCTTTTTTAATTTGATTCATAGAATAGGCACTTTCTTTTACTGCACTTTACTGATCTGCGTTTGAATCTGTTCGTATTCTTTTTGGTTTTGTATTGTCCATGTGATTTTACTGAAACTTTCTATAAGTATTGTTTTTGTAATATTTCGGATATGTCCACTATGTCTTTGTATAAGTGCATGTCAAATTAAATTAATTGTGGGGAGGAGGGGTGTTGTGATTGCATTTTCATTCCCATATGTTTATGCTCTTTGTCATTTCAATAGTCTTCTAGTATTTGATATTTTACGGATCTATGGTCGGTTAATGAGCTCATAAAGATGCAATATGTGATCGTTCAATTTCATTTTTTCTAAATACTATTAACCAATCAAAGTGAGGGCAAGTTTGAATACATTTCATCAATGAAGACAGAGGTGTGGACAGTAAGACAATTTGGAAAAATTCACTTGAGGTGAAAACATTTTCCCGGTTTTAAATAAATTTGTTGGCTTGAGATTCCGCGATAATGGGATATAATAGTGAAAACCACTTCTGATTTAAACTTACTTTTTAAGATAAAAAAAGCTTGCTTAGATATGTTAAATAACATGCATTCATAAAATGTCAAACTCAACATAGAATTATTTGTTTGTACTTTGATGAACATTTAGACTGTTGTGTTCAGTGTAATTGTTTACTATATTTAAGAATTTACTAATTACAGATGAAGCAAATTTATTCATCTACAACGAAAATATCAAATGGGTTCTATCCAAATGACTTGTATTGTAAAATTGTAAATTTTAAATATATATCTGCATTATATATTTGCACTACTAATCTATATTGACCTTTCATATCTTACATTTTATTAAAAAAAGATGTAACAATTAATGCAAATGTCATCAGAAAAGGAAGATAAATGTTAGTAAACATATGGTTACTAGGCATATTTACGATTAGTATTTTAGAAGGCAAACATGTTGAGAAAACATTATATCCTTGTTTAATGATATTGGTTAATTAAAAATTGATATTAATTACAAAGTAGTGAATCATCATGTCTGTCATATATAGATTTATGAGCGGCCTTCATATAGTTTGTTTTTGTGGTGACAAACGATTCAAGTATGAAAATAAAATCATGTTTCCTGTTTTTGCCTTTCTCTTGTTTATGTCGTAATTGTCTCATAAAT